ATTTTTTGTATTTTTAGTAGAGATGGGGTTTCACCATGTTAACTAGGATGGTCTCGATCTCCTGACCTCGTGATCTGCCTGCCTCGGCCTCCCCAAGTGCTGGGATTGTACAATTTTTTAAAAATTTTTCCTATATTTTTAAGCAGTGTCACAGTCATATTTGTACAATTCTTGAAGTTGGAGACTTGAGAAAAAATGTATTATCTTGGTCTGAAAAATATAAAAGGTTTCTGTTACTGTGGTATTTTAAAGAGTACTGTGGTTATCTTTGGGTGGCAGGGCTATGGAGATATTTTTGTTTTCCCACTATGATTCTCTTTTTTTCCCTGACATGTATCTTTTTCTTTAAAATGAAAAAAAAAAAAAATTAAAGCTCCTATGGCAAGAGGAATCTCATGAAAGGAACTTCTCAACTCACAGAGGCCGTGTGCTCTGGCAGTGGTTCTCAAACTTGAGTTTGCCTCAGACTCATCCAGGGTGGGAGAGTCCCAGGCCCCACCTTCAGAATTTCTGATTTAGAAGATCTGAGGTGGGGCCCCAGGATTTGTATTTCTGATGGGTTGCCAGGGGCCGCTGATGCAGCTGGCCCAGGAGCCCACTTTGAGAGCTTCTGCTTTGTGCTGTTGTGTGGAAGCCGCCCTCTAATAGCGGCTGTTTTTTCTCCCAGCCTGGCTTGCTCCTCAGGCTCCCAGGAACCTGCCCCAAAACACAGGTCTCCACGACCAGGAGACAGGTGCTGTGGTCTGGACAGCTGGGTCCCAGGTGAGCTGTGGTTGATGCGTTCTGTCTCCTGATTACCCACTCTCACCCCAAAACCCTCATTTCCAGAGACATGAGAAGGATTCTGTGTGGTCCACGGGGCTTCTCGGGTTATTTTGATTCTGTCCACTCTGACATCATCACACGGCTCAGAACATGTCCCTGGGGGCTGACCTCCCCTGCCTTTGCCTTGCCCCTGATCTGACAACTGTGATCCTGTCTCTGCCCCCACCTCAGGCTAGAGTGGTGCTATTTTACCGGTAGCCAGCTCCAGTGTTGTTACAGGGACCAGCCACGTGTGACAACAGAGCTGTATCCCTCTGTCAGCAAGAATGGATGTGCCCAGGCCCTGCACGAAAGGCCCTCTACAGGGGTGCCACGCAGAGGAAGAACAGACACATCTCGCTGGGTAAGGATCCATCTTCCCTCCAGGTCCAGGTGGATGTGTTCAGTTGTTCAGAGAAGCTGAAAGGACGTGAGAGGAAGGGAGACAGAGGGAGTGGGGAGACTGTTGGGTGGAGGGAAAGGAGGAAGTAAATGGGGAACCAGAGCAGGCAAGAGAGACACAGGCAGAAATCAAAAGAAAGGGGTAGCATGTGTGACAGGCAGTCAAGAACATGAGAGATGAAGGGTGAGGGGGTGGAGAAGCAAAAAGTGATAGTGAGACAGAGTCAGAACAAGCAGGCCGGAGCTGGAGCCAGACAGGTGGCCAACAAGAGTACAGATGTGCTCATGCTGAACGTGTGCTCATGCACACAGGTAGCAGTAGTCACTCCCAAGTTTCTCCAGTGGCACAGGAGATTAACAAATAAAACCACCCAACTAGGACAGTCTACTATGCCCAGGCCTTCCAGGCCCTTTCCCAGCATCTCAGGACACTTGGGGAAGGTTCTGCCAAACAGACCGCTCTCTTGCCTTTCTCAAATCAGTTCTGTCCCATCTGGGCCAAATGCCTCCTCCTCATAGCAGCCTCCCTGACTATCCAGATTCAGAGACAGACACTCTGCAGCTCACTGGGCCTAGATGTCTCGTCTGCTGCTTCACATGCAGGGTTCTCCTGGCCAAGCCCAGGGTGGGAGGGACTACACAAGGCCGTGAACACAGGCCCTGTGACACTGCCCCTGCCTCACTCTACAATGTTGTCCTCCCCAGTGGTGTGTGGTTTTTCCCTGCTCTGCCCCTGCCATCCCTCCCCTCCTTTGCCAGGAACTCCCAGTGTCCTGGCTTCAGCATATGCCATTTCTTGCTGCTTCTTCAGGCTTCTCCTGCACCTTATCTTTGTCCAGTTGCAGGAGAGTATAGTGTCTTTTTGAGCTTTGTATTACTAAATATATATGGATAATACAGTAAGGTGAGATATAAATATTTTTGTATTTGTGATTTTTAACTTATTAGGTGAAATTCACATGACATAAAATTAACCACTGTAAAGTGAACAATTCTTTGGCATCTAGCACATTCAGAGTGTTGTGTAATTACCACTACGTCCAGTTCCAGAACCTTTCCATCACTCCAAAGTATGATCCCACAACCATCCAGCACTTTCTCCCCGTCCTCCCCCTGCAAGCCCCTGGCAGACACCAGTCTTCATTCTGTCTCTATGGATTGCACTATTCTGAATATTTCATGGTATATTGTACCTGTAATGGTACAATGGTACAATGTAATGGTACCTGTAATTTTAATTTCTACAACATTAGGCTTATCAAATGAAGGCTTGTATTCCCCACACACTTTTGGTTTCTTGTCAACCATTCAGGATCCTTTAAAATTAGAGGTAAGAGTTGAGACAGAATGTGGGAGGACAAGTCATTCTTTCCACAAATATTAACTTAGTGCCTATAGTATCTCAGACCTACTTCTAGGTCGTTAGGTATACAACAGTGAACAAACAGATAAAGATTCCTGCCCTGTGGGAAGAGACAGACTATAGCATAATCAGTAAGCAGCAGAAGATGTTAGAGGGCGATAAGCACGATGGGAGAGAAACAGCAGAGCAGAGTGATGGGAGTGCCAGGACAGAGGTTGGTTTTCAGTTTTCAGTTTGGGTCCTCAGGGTCACTCTCACTGAGAAAATGACATTTGAAAAGACTTACCGAAGGAGGAGGGATGAGCCATGCAGCCATATCCCACATGGAGGAAGAGTGTAAGACAGACGCAATGACAGCCTGTAGCGAGGTGGGCATGCCAGTTCACTGGCACAGAGTGCACCCATGAGTAATGAGAAAACGAGCTCAGAAAGCCAGCTCAAATGAGTGCTGTCAGCTGAGACTGAGAGGGAGCAATTAGAAACTTTTATAACTATTTAACATTGCTGCACTTTTCAGTTGTATTTTTATTGTATTTTACAAAAGAAAGAAGCACAAGACTCCAGTCCTTCATAGATAATTTGAGAAGTACTAATACAGGATCGTCGGGCCCTACATGAAGGACTTTTTTATTCTGAGTGAAATGGGGGAGTCTTGTGTGGTTCTGGGCAGAGGAGTAATAGTTTTAAAAGGACCACTTTGAGTATTTCACTTTATTTGGCACTTAACTCTATGTAAACATTTATTCATGTCTCTTTTTGCTAGAGAGACTTCTACAGGACTGTGACCTCCTTGAAGGCAGGGTTCATGTAATATTTATATTTCTTAGAAACTGGCATTGTAGGCACTGTTAGTTAAATTGAATAACAAAGGAGAGGACTCCCTCTGGGTGCTGGGTTGAAAGTTGACTGTAAAAGGTCCACAGTGGAAGCAAGAAGACCAGATAGGCTATGGCAGTGATCCAGGCATGAGGTGACGGTGGCTCAGTGTGGAGCAGAGGGGGTGACAAGAAGAGGCTGGTGCCCTTCAGAATATCACAACCAGATGTTGGAGTGCACTTGCTGGGACAGCTCTAGTCAAATCAGTCCTCATCAACTGGCCTAGATGGGCAGCAGGAGTGTGTGGTGAGGGTTCTTGAGTAGCCAGTCATCCTGAACTGCTCTTCTCAGATGTTTACTGCTTATTCTTACCTTGGTGTGTTAACTGCTGTCATTTTCTTGTATCTACAAGGATGACAGGAGATATAAACAGATAAGAGATGGGCCAGATGAGGAGGTAACAGGCAGCTATATCCTTACAACCAGCTCCTCTGTCCCCTGAATCTTTGCTTTACTCAAGCGTCACCTGTTCGCTGTGTCCTTTTATGTGGCCACCCTCAGGAAGTCCCACAACTGTCAAGGCAGGCAAGACACTACCCTTATTGCCAGCTATCTCTCCAGGAGAAATGAGTAGGATTGAGGATAATTAAAGACAAATTTAAAAGGCAGCTTGAGTAAATAACCCTACAAGTCCTTCTCAGTGGAGGAAATGTCTTTTGTATTATACTAAAAGTTTTCATGTTTTAGACAAATGGCCACAGTGAGATTTCTTCCTAGAAATAACAATAGCCCGTTGTGGCACAGTTTGAGAAACCAGGATGTAACTTTTTTTTTTTTTTTGAGATGGAGTCTTGCTCTGTCGTCAGGCTGGAGTGCAGTGGCACAATCGCAGCTCACTGTAACCTCTGCTTCCTGGGTTCAGGTGATTCTTCTTCCTCAGCCTCCTGAGTAGCTGGGACTACAGGCACATGGCACCACACCCAGCTGATTTTTTTTGTATTTTTAGTAGAGACGGGGTTTCACCATGTTGGCCAGGATGGTCTCGATCTCTTGACCTTGTGATCCGCCCACCTTGGCCTCCCAAAGTGCAGAGATTACAGGTGTGAGCCACCGCACCCAGCCTAGGATGTAACTTTTTAAGCTGCTAAAACCTCACACTGCAGTATGTACAGTCCTCCATGATCTAACTGACAGATGTGATTGAGCTATTCTTTGTCTCCCAGCAACAGGTGTGCCCTGGGGCTATGAAGAGACCAAGACGCTCCTGGCTATTCTTAGTAGTTCTCAATTTTATGGAAAACTCCAGACCTGTCAGCAGAACAGCCAGATCTACAGGGCCATGGCGGAACAACTCTGGGATCGGGGTTTTCTGCGGACCCCAGAACAGTGTCGCACCAAGTTCAAAAGCCTACAGTTGAGTTACCGCAAAGTGAGGAGAGGCTGTGTGCCTGAGCCTTGTATCTTTTACGAGGAAATGGATGCTCTTTCAAGCTCCTGGGCCTCTGCACCTCCTATGGCAAGTGATGCTGTTCCTGGCCAAGAAGGAAGTGATATTGAGGCGGGAGAGCTGAATCACCAGAACGGGGAGCCCACGGAGGTAGAAGATGGCACTGTGGATGGTGCAGACAGGGATGAAAAGGACTTCAGGAATCCTGGCCAGGAAGTCAGGAAAGTTGACCTGCCAGTGCTGTTCCCAAACAGACTTGGTAAGACTCCCTTGGCTCTGATAGTCAAAGGATGGCAAAGTCCACTTTAGAGGCCATTAGTCTAGCAGTTGAGTGGGAGCTGTCACTGATCCTGGCATTATCATCATCTTGATGTGTCACCCTATCCAAGCCAGGAGTTTTGGTTTTCATGGAGTTTAAAGATTATTCCTCTTGCATTTTAGATCCCTGATTTTGCATTTGCCAACCTCTTTCACTAAGTTCATGTCATCTTTTCCCATGGAGTTTCACTACTTTGCATTGTCAGACTGCTGGTTAGGCCTCCAGACCAGGTCTATCTTCTCTCTCCTCCTCTAGCATGGCCTTGCCTTTCACAGCCTGAGCCTATGCTGGCTGGGTACTTAGCACTTTGCTTTCTTCCTGTTTGAGCTGGCCAAGATCAGGGTTGCCTTTTGTTGTTCTGCTGCCAGAAGTTAGAACATTCAAGAATTGAGGGTACACCTATAAACAGACTGGCAGATGACACAGAGCTTGACGTCTTGCCTCAGTCTGTCATTATGTCAGAACATCCGTAAAAAGATAGGAGAAAAGTTGGAGTTTAGGGCATAATTTTTCTGTAATAATTTGGAGCTCAAAAATATTACAATTAGAAAATAAAAAGCTGTTAATTAGCAGGAGACTTAATCACATGAGGAATTGCAATTAGATATTTCTTCTACATAGTATAGTTATAACTTTGCATTCCATTGTTTTCCTTCTCTATAGTCCATTGTATTTCTGTGGGGTTTTTTTCCAGATTTTGAGAGCAAGAATGAGATTAAAAAAGAAAATCTAAAATGGGATGATTCAGAGGAAGGAGAAATACACAAGGCTTTACAGAGAAAGTCCAGAGGAGTTTTTTGGCACTCTGAGCTACAAAAAGGCTTGGAGAGAGAGCCAACATCAAGAAGGCAATGTAGAAATTCTCCAGGGGAGAGTGAGGAGAAAACCCCATCCCAGGAGAAGATGAGTCACCAGAGTTTTTGTGCCAGGGACAAAGCCTGTACACATATCCTCTGTGGGAAAAACTGCTCTCAGAGTGTGCATTCTCCCCACAAGCCAGCACTCGAACTGGAAAAAGTATCTCCATGTCCAGAATGTGGGAAAACCTTTAGCCGAAGTTCTTATCTTGTTCGGCATCAGAGAATCCACACAGGCGAGAAGCCCCACAAGTGCAGTGAGTGCGGGAAAGGCTTTAGTGAGCGCTCCAACCTCACTGCCCACCTACGAACTCACACAGGGGAGAGGCCCTACCAGTGTGGGCAGTGTGGGAAAAGCTTCAACCAGAGCTCCAGCCTCATTGTCCACCAGAGGACCCATACTGGGGAGAAGCCTTACCAGTGCATTGTCTGTGGAAAGAGATTCAACAACAGTTCCCAGTTCAGTGCTCACCGGCGCATCCACACTGGGGAGAGCCCATACAAGTGTGCCGAGTGTGGGAAAAGCTTCAACAATAGCTCCCACTTCAGTGCCCACCGAAAAACCCACACTGGTGAAAAGCCTTACAAGTGTTCTCACTGTGAGAGAGGCTTCAGTAAGAACTCTGCCCTCACCCGTCATCAGACAGTACACTCGAAAGTAGTACTCTCATCACAGGAAGGAAGAGATGTGTTATGAGTGTGTAGGAAAACTGTCAGATTAGTTCCTCAGGTCAGCATGTATGCGTTCCTTAGGGCTTTCTTCTGTTATGGAGCGATCTAGCCAGTCCGTGACTTGGCAACAGACCTACTGACTACTGGATCTTAAGACCCATGTCTAGGACCAGGAATCAGCATAAGGATGCTGACCTCTCCTGGGTGTGCCTGTGACTCCAGAGTCCTATCTTACTGTGACTTAAAGTTTGATGGAGAGAAAGCTGTAGGGTCCATAAATTCTGCCAGGAAACCAGGGTCTTCCTGTTCCTAGAACTGAGAATGGGCACCCAGTGATCTGAGAACACGTTCTGGACTAACGTAGTCCTCACATAGGGCTGAGAAAGAAAGTGTCCCCTTTCCTGGGAAGCACATGTAGAAATTAAGAGCCTGAATCGCTTCTAAACCAATAATTGACCTCTAGGCACCTGCCATACTAGTACTAACTTCAGGGAAGAAGACACTACTCTATGTAACCCAGCCACCACCAAAAAGGGAACAAAAAGAAGGAGGGTTAAGCCATTGGATAATACTGAATCTGTTTCCCTAAGTGACTTAGCCTTAGAGCAAGCGTAACATCCAGGTTAATTTTTTATAAGACTTATCCTTTTATTATCGCCCTCATCATAGTTCCTGATTGTCTCTTAAAGTGGTTTATAGACATTACTATTTCTGATAATAATTTACAAACTAAACAAATTTATAAACATTACTAATTTCTGATGAAAATAAAGTTGTTTCTCCCTCCACTTCCTTGGCCTTTGGTTGTAATTTTCTCCATTAGAAACTATACTCATGCAGAAGCCTGCAGGGTCCTGAAAATGACATATATGTAAGTGTAGAGTCTGCTTCAGGGAAGTAGGACATGCAGAGAAGGAATAGGGGTAGGAAATAGGGAAAAGAGGAAATGAATTGGGTTGGAAAGGGTTTGTGCCATCATGAGAGTGAAGATCACAGAAGCAAGGGAAAAACAAGGTTCATCAGGAGATTCTGACTCCTGAAGAGTTTGGTAGATGAGAATGGTAGATGAAAGGAAGGATGGGAACGAGATGCACTAGGAACCAAAGTTAAAATTCATCTATGATGAGTCACAGACACTTAAACTTTTATGAAATCGCCATAGATAAAAAGTGGTAGAAGATAGGTACATTTGTCTACGGTTGTTGGCTGGTGCACACAAGGTAGCAGGACGTTGTCTAAGGTATGATGAAAAGCATCATGGTCTCTTGAGCTTTTTGAAAAGTTAAGCATTTGCCCCAAGAATACTTGCCAGCAGTGCTTGCAGCTGCAGTGTTTACCCTGAGATAACTTTGCCACAAAATATCTTGCTTTTATTATTTTATTTATTTATTTATTTTTTTGAGACAGGGTCTCTCTCTTCCCCCAGGCTGGAGTGCAGTGGTGCAATCTCAGGTCACTGCGACCTCTGCATCCCAGGTTCAAGCAATTCTCATGCCTCAGCCTCCCAAGTAGCTATGACTACATGCCTGCACCACCATGACCGACTAACGGGGTTTGCCATGTTGACCAGGCTGGTCTTGAACTGGCCTCAAGTGATCCTCCTGCCTCAGCCTCTCAAAGTGCTGGGAGTAGAGGTGTGAGCCACTACTCCTGGTCATCTTGCTTTTATTATTTTCACACTGCTCTAGTATATCAAATTTGGAAGCAAAGGACATCATTCTATTTACAGCATTTAGTAGTGGTATTTCTTTTTACAAAATACAGTAATTCTCGATCACTGAAAATGTCAAATCCTAGAAAATGTAGCATTCTTACATATGATGTTAACATAATTCTCTAACAGTTGTAGGCCAAAGATCTATTTGATGAATCTGATTTTTCTGAAAGACAATGCTGATGATTCAGGCTATTCTAATGTTAGTTCTGTTTAGAAATAACTCCAATAATAGTTTTTATATTTTGTTTTCACATTGAAAATCAGTCCCATACAAGTGTGCAGTGTGGGAAAAGCTTCAACAATAGCTCCCACTTCAGTGCCCACTGAAAAACTCACACTGGTGAAAAGTCTTACAGGTGTTCTCACTCTGAGAGAGGCTTCACTAAGAACTCTGCCCTCACCCATCATCAGGTGGGGCAGGTGCAGCTGAGCAGAACAGAATTAGAAGAGCAGTCAGACATTCATGTGGCCAAGAAGCACATGAAAAAATGCTCATCACTAATCAAAAGAGAATTGCAAATCAAAACCCCAATGACATACTATCTCACAGCAGTCAGAATGGCTATTACTAAAATGTCAAAAAATAACAGATGCTGGTGAGTTGCAGAGAAAAGGGAATGTTTATACACTGCTGGTGGGAATGTAAATTATTTCAGCCACTGTGGAAAGCAGTTTGGAGATTTCTCAAAGAACTCAGAGCTACCATTCAACCCAGCAATCCCATTACTGGGCATATAGCCAAAGGAATGATCATCCTACCAAAAAGACACAGGCATACGTATGCTCACTGCAGCACTATTCACAAAAGCAAAGTCATGGAATCAATCTAGATGCCCACAATAGTGATGCAGATAGAGAAAATGTGGTACATATACACCATGGGATACTACACAGCCATAAAAAAGAATTAAATCATGTCCTTTGCAGCAACATGGATGGAGCTGGAGGCCATTATTTTAAGCGAATTAACCCGGAAGAGAAACCCAAATACCATGTGTTCTCGCTTGTAACCGGGAGCTTACAAGTACACATGGATACAAAGAGGGGAACAACAGACACTGGGGCCTACTAGAGGGTAGAGAGTGGAAGGACGGTGAGGACTGGAAAACTACCTATTGGGTACTATGCTCATTACCTGGGTGACAAAATAATCTGTATACCAAACTCCCTCGACATGGAATTTACCTGTGTAACAAACCTGCACATTTACCCCCGAACCTAAAATAAAAGCTGGAAAGAGGAAAAAAAATAAAAGAGTGGTCAAGGCCTCAGCACCACAGGGACGTAGAGCACATCAGGGTCCTGTTGGCTTAGGGCAGTGCAGGAAGGTCTGTGGCCCCTTCCACCCCAGGATCCACAGCTCTGTCACACCGTGCTGCATAGTACCCAACCCCACTTTAGCCCCGCTTCTCGTTTTTTGTTTTTTTTTCTTTTTTTTGAGACGGAGTCTCACTCTGTTGCCCAGGCTAGAGTACAATGGCGTGCTCTCGGCTCACTGCAACCTCCGCCTCCCGGGTTCAAGCCATTCTCCTGCCTCAGCCTCCTGAGTAGCTGGGATTACAGGCACGTGCCACCACACCCAACTAATTTTTGTATTTTCAATAGAGACGGGGTTTCACCATGTTGGTCAGGCTGGTCTCAAACTCCTGACCTCATGATCCGCCCGCTTGGGCCTCCCAAAGTGCTGGGATTACAGGAGTGAGTCACCGTGCCTGGCCTTCGGTCGTCTCTTGGGCAGAAAGCCAGTTGTATTGATCTGTTTGGGGGAGAGGTGTGACTCAGACACTGAGGACTTATCTAAAGCACCTGCACCTTGCTAGGCAATGCAGTCCCTCCATCACAGAGCAGGCCTTTCAGGAATCAGGATAGTCTCATTCAGAGCAGGACCAGGTGAACATAATTCGCAGAGGAGAAAGGATGCATTTTACAGGAGACAAACCTCCCATCCTTAATATTGTCCCTCTTTGGAACAGCTTTTAGACCCTAGGAAATAACTTTCCTCCAGAGAGTAAAAAATATTACCACCATAGTTGGCCCAAAGGCAGCCACCAATTAGGAAATCATTTAAAGCCAGGCACGGTGGCTCACAACTGTAATCCCAGCACTTTGGGAGGCCAAAGTGGGTAGATCACCTGAGGTCGGGAGATTGAGACCAGCCTGACCAACATGGAGAAACTCCGTCTCTACTAAAAATACAAAATTAGCTGGCTGTGGTGGTGCATGCCTGTGATCCCAGCTACTCAGGAGGCTGAGGCAGGAGAATCACTTGAACCCAGGAGGCAGAGGTTGCAGTGAGCCAAGATTGCGCCATTGCACTCCAGCCTGGGCAACAAAAGCGAAACTCCATATCAAAAAAAAGAAAGAAGGAAAAAAGAAAGCTTTAAAGCTCAACATCAATTATTTTAACTCCTAATCACTCTATTGAACTCCTAACATTACATTAGACTAATCTATTACTTAATAGAAGCAATAATGTTAATATAAGTAACATGAAGATATTCTCCATTATATAAGCTTACATCAAACCAGAATAATCCACTGATAGTTAACAGCCTAATATTAACAAATAATAAATACCCTATTTATACTATTAATCCAACACAGGTATGCTCTAAGGAAAGATTACAAAAAGTATAAGGAACTCGGGAAATCTTACCCCACCTGTTTACCAAAAACATCACCTCTAGCATTACTAGTATTAGAGGCACTGCCTGCCCAGTGACATATGTTCAACAGCTGCGGTATCCTGACAGTGCAAAGGTAGCATAATCACTTGTTCCCTAAATAGGGTCTTGTATGAATGGCCACACGAGGGTTCAGCTGTCTCTTACTTTCAATCAGTGAAACTGATCTATCCGTGAAGAGACAGTATAAACAAATAAGATGAGAAGACCCTATGGAGATTTCATTCATTAACGCAAACAGAAACTCAAAAAAAGGCTACGGGCCCTAGCCTACTATCTCTGCATTAAAAATTTTGGTTGGGGTGCCGGGCGCAGTGGCTCATGCCTGTAATCCCAGCACTTAGGGAGGCTGAGGCGGGCAGATCACGAGGTCAGGAGATGGAGACCATCCTGGCCAACATGCTGAAACCCTGTCTCTACTAAAAATACAAAAATTAGCTAGCTAGGTGTAGTGGTATGCGCCTGTAATCCCAGCTACTCAGGAGGCTAAGGCAGGAGAATGGCTTGAACTCGGGAGGCAGAGACAGCAGTGAGCCAAGATCGCGCCACTGTACTCCAGACTGGCGACAGAGCCACACTCTGTCTTAAAAAATAAAAAAAAAATAAACAATAAAAAATAAAAGAAATTTAAGATGTGCTTGCGGTGACCTCAGAGCATAATTCAACCTCCAAACAACCTAAACTAAGACCGCACTAGTCTAAGCGAGTTAGCACACATTGACCCAATAATTTGATCAACGGAATAAGTTACCCTAGGGATAACAATGCAATCCTATTCTAGAGTCCGTATCAACAATAGGGTTTACAGCTTCCATGCTGGATCAGGACATCCTAATGGTGTAGCTGCTGTTAAGGCTTCGTTTGTTCAGTGATTAAAGTCCTATGTGATCTCAGTTCAGATCAGAGTAATCCAGGTCGGTTTCTATCTATTTAACATTTCTCCTTAGTACAAAAGGACAAGAGAAACAGGGCCCACTCCACAAAGCACCCTTGCCCCCATAAATGATGCTGTCTCAATCTAACAAATCATCACACACCCTACCCAAGAACAGTGTTTAAGATGGCAGAACCCAGCAATAGAATAAAACTTAAAACTTTAAAATCAGAGGTTCAACTCCTTTTCTTAATGATATGCCTATAATCAATCTTCTCCTACTTATTATTACCACTTTAATCGCTATAGCATTCCTTATATACCCATTGAATGAAAAATCTTAGGCTACATACAATTACCTAACACTGTAGGTCCTAACACTGTAGGTCCCTACAGACTGCTTCAACCATTCGCCGATGCAATAAAACTTTTCATCAAAGAACCTTTACGTCTCTTAAAGTCTATTACCCTTTATGCTACTGCTCCAACCCTAGCCGTTCTGATTGCTCTCCTCTTATGAACTCCCCTCCGCATACCAGATGCTCTAATTTTAATATAGGCCTCCTATTTATACTAGCCACATCAAGCCGCCCCCTCTATCCTATGATCAGGATGAGCATCTAATTCAAATTATGCACTAATCATCACATTACAATCTGTAGCCCAGACAATTTCATATGAAGTCACTCTAGTCATTGTCCTTTTATCAGTTCTACTAATAAGTGGCTCATTTAACTTACATGCACTTATCATCACAATGCAAGAATTCCTCTCACTGCTTCTACCATCATAACCCCTAGCCATAATATAATTTATCTCCACACTAGCAGAAACTAACAGAGCCCCTTTTGAACTAATAGAAGGAGAATCAGAGTCAGTCTCAGGCTTAAACATCGAATATGCCGCAGGTTTATTTGCCCACTTCTTATAGCAGAATATATGAATATTATCATAATAAATAACTACTACCATTTTTCGAGGAGCACTACACACTGTATAGTCACCAGAACTCTATACCACAAATTTCATTACCAAGACCATTCTTTAACCACCGTTTTTATGAACTCGAACAGCATACCTCCGATTCCGCTATGACCAACTTATATATCTTCTATGAAAAAATGTCCTACCGCTTACACCAGCACTCTGCATATGATGTATCTCAATGCCTAATTTCCAGCATCCCACCCCAAATATAGGAAATATGTCTGACAAAAGAATTACTTTGATAGAGTAAACAATAAAGGTCCAATCCTCTGATTTCTAGAACTAAGGAATTGAAGCTACCCCTGAGAATCCAAAATTATCTGTGCTACCCATTACACCAAGTCCTAAAGTAAGGTTGGCTAAATAAGCTATCGGGCCCATACCCCAAAAATGTTAGTTATACCCTTCCTGTACTAATTAACCCATTAGCTCAACTTACTATTTCCCTTACTATTTTCACAGGAACTCTTATCACAATGCTAGGCTCACATTGATTTCTCATCTGAACCGGCCTAGAAATGAACATTATAGCTCTTATCCCAATCTTAATTAAAAAGATAAATCCAGTCAGGCACGGTGGCTCATGCCTGTAATCCCAGCACTTTGGGAGGCCAAGGTGCGTGGATGACGAGGTGAAGAGATCGAGACCATCCTGGTCAACATGATGAAACCCCGTCTCTATTAAAAATACAAAAATTAGTTGGGTGTGGTGGCACGTGACCGTAGTTCCAGCTACTCAGGAGGCTGAGGCAGGAGAATCGCTTGAACCTGGGAGGCAGAGGTTGCAGTGAGCCAAAATTGAGCCACTGCACTCCAGCCTGAGGACAGAGCAAGACTCCGTCTCAAAAAAAAAAAAACAGTCTAATGCTTACTCAGCCATTTTACCCTTTTCCCACTTATGTTCATTAATCGTTGATTGTTTTCAACTAACCACAAAGACATCAGAACACTATATTTACTATTCGGTGCATGAGCAGGAATAGTGGGCACCGCCTTAAGCCTTCTAATTCGAGCAGAATTAGGCCAACCAGGAACTCTGCCAGGAGAAGATCAGATTTACAATGTTACTGTTTCCACCCACGCATTAGTCATAATTTTCTTTATGGTCATACAAGTCATATTTGGGGGTTTTGGCAACTGGCTAGTCCCTCTGATTGGTGCACCTGATACGGCACTCCCCCAGATAAATAATATGAGCTTCGGACTTCTCCCCCTATCTTCTCTACTCCTACTTGCATCTTCAGTAGTAGAAGCCGGCGCTGGAACCGGCTGGACAGTTTTTTTAGCAGGAAACCTAGCAGGAGCCTCTATGGATCTAACCATCTTCTCACTCCACTTGGCAGGTGTTTTTCTATTTTAGCGGCCATTAACTTTATGACAGTTAGTAACATAAAACCCCCAGCCTTGTCCCAATATCAAACACCCCTTTTCATCTGATCAGTCCTCATTATGGCAGTCCTTCTCCTCCTTTCTCTCCCAGTCCTAGCCGCCAGCATTACCATACTATTAACTGATCGTAACCTCAATACTACTTTTTTTGACCCTGCTGGCAGGGGCGACCCTATCTTTTATCAACATTTATTCTGATTCTTTGGTCATCCTGAAGTCTATATCCTTATCCTTCCAGGCTTCGGGATAATCTGTCATATCGTAACATATTACTCTGGAAAAAAGGAACCATTTGGGTATATGGGCATAGCATGAGCCATAATATCAATTGGCTTCTTAGGATTTATCGTATGGCCTCACCATATATTTACATTCCTATGTAGGAATGGACGTAGACACACGAGCATACTTCACCTCCGTTACTATAATTATTGCTATCCCTACTGGACTCAAGGTCTTTAGCTGATTAGCTACACTGCATGGTAGTAATATCAAATGATCTCCCACAATATTCTGAGCCCCTAGGATTCATTTTCCTATTAACAGTAAGAGGTTTAACTGGCATTATACTAGCTAATTCATCATTAGACATTATTTTACAAGATATATATTATGTTGTAGCCCATTCCCACTATGTTCTATCAACAGGAGCAGTATTTGCCATCACAGGAGGCGTTGTCCACTGATTCCCCCTATTTTCAGGTTATATACCTAATCAGACCTACGCTAAAATCCACTTCATCATTATATTTATAGGCGTTAATTTAACCTTTTTCCCACAGCACTTCCTCAGCCTATCAGTGTGCCTCAACATTACTCCAATTAACCCAATGCGTACACCACATTAAATGTTATCTAATCAGTAGGCTCATCGGTATCATTAACAGCAGTCATACTAATAATTTTCATAATCTGAGAAGCCTTTGCTTCAAAACGAAAAGTTCTAACAATTGAACAAGCATCTACTAATTTAGAGTGACTTTACGGCTGTCCACCACCTTACCATACATTCGAAGAGCCAATCGACGTGACAACCTAGACGAAAAAGGAATCGAACCTCCAGAAACTGATTTCAAGTAAATCCCATAACCTGTATGACTTTCTCGATATTAGTAAAATAATCACATAACTTTGCGAAAGTTAAGATATAGGATAAACCCTGTATGTCTTAATGGCTCACCCAGTTCAGTTAGGCCTTCAAGAAGAACTGCTCACTTTCCATGACGACACTCTTACAATTATTGTCCTAATTCAGTTGCTGCAACTCTGAAGAATCACCTCCTGCTAGTTCTGATAAAAACTCTACTCTGGAAACAGAAAGAAGTCAGTGTGAGTTTGTTTCTACTTCACTTTATTAACTCTAGCAAAGAAGGTATATATTTCTCATCCTATTCAAGTCAGCTGTGCATATGGGACACAATGTTAACTAGTGGAAATAACGCAGACTTTATCCTTCAGGTGAACCTGGTTTGAGACCAAGCTCAACTCCCTACTAAGTGATTTGGGGCAAATTATTCAACTCCTATGATCCACTTTTCATCATCTGAGGATAATAACACCCACCTTGCAGGGCTGGGCGCGGTGGCTCACACCTGTTATCCCAGCACTTTGGGAGGCCGAGGCGGGTGGGGGGGGGCCCGGGAGGAGGATCACTTGAGGTCAGGAGTTCAAGATCAGCCTCCAGCCTGGCCAACATGGTGAAACTCCCGTCTCTACTAAAAATACAAAAAAGATTAGCAGGGCGTGGTGGCGGGTGCCTGTAATCACAGGGAGAATGAGGCAGGAGAATCGCTTGAACCCCGGAAGCCGAGGCTGCAGTGAGCCGAGATTGCATTACTGCAGTTCAGCCTGGGGGACAGAGCAAGACTCCCTCTCAAAAAAATAAATAATAAATAAATAATATCCATCTTGCAGGATACAGGAAAAGAGTAGAGATATCAGTAAAGTATCCAGGCCAGTGCTTGGCACTCAGAAGGAAGTAAATAAATGGTATGTGGTGGTAGGAAGAGAAACTCCATCTTGCAGGAACTTCATAGCATATATTACTACTTGACATATAAGTTTTAATGTCTGTCAAGTCCCCTGCCCAAGAATGCGTAAGGTTTTTCAGCTCAATGCGGAATCCTAGCATCCTGAATAGTGTTTAGTGCTAAATAGGTATCTGGCAAACGAATGAATAGGTGAAAAAATAAAAGGAAGACTGGGCTCATCACACCTGATTAACCAACTGCGCATCAAATACTTAAGCATTATAAAGAACACAAAATGAGGCCGGGCGCGGTGGCCTACGCCTGTAATCTCAGGACTTTGGGAGGCCGAGGCGGGCCGATCACGAGGTACGAAGATCGAG